GTGAAGCCGCTTCAAGTCCCCACTGAGGAGAATTAAATGAATTGGGTCAAAGAGCTGGTGTGTAAATGAAGGAAGTAAATGTGTCAGGTCTCCCATCTAAGACTCTCCACAGCACACTTTCATAAGAACATAAGAACATAAGAGACGCCAATGTTGGATCAGGCCAAAGGCCCATCCAGTCCAACACTCTGTATCACACAGTGGCCAGAAATACCAGTGCCATCAGGAGGTCCAGCAGTGGGGCCAGGACATTAGAAGCCCTCCCACTGTTGACCCCCCCCGAGCACCAAGAAGACCTTGTGGCTAATAGCCACTGATGGACCTCTGCTCCATATGCTTATCTAATTCCCTTTTGAAGCCGTCCATGCTTGTAGCCGCCATGACTTCCTGTGGCAGTGAATTCCATGTGTTAATCACTCTTTGGGTGAAGAAGTACTTCCTTTTATCCGTTCTAACCCGACCGCTCTGCAGTTTCATGGAGTGCCCATGAGTTCTTGTATTGTGGACCTCTTTCATAGAATCATAGAATGTTGAGAGTCGGAAGGGACCTTGCAGGTCATCTAGCCCAACCCCCTGCACTCTGCAGGAGCACAGCCGAAAGATAGCCCTACAACCAATGTTCCCTCTAAGTTGTGTCTTGTGAGCAGAAATTCTGCTTTGTGAGCTACCGGTATTAAAGTTGTGAGCGAGCAATTTGGCAACTGCATAAATCAGTTTGCTCTGGAGCCATCTTTCCTGAGCTAAGACAAAAATCTGTGAGCTGGATGCTAAAAAATGGTGAGCTAGCTCACTCTAACTCAGCTTAGAGGGAACACTGCCTGCAACATACCCGAAATATGGTCGTCCAGCCTCCGCTTGAAAACGTCCAGCGAAGGAGCATCCACCACCTCCCGAGGCAGTCCGTTTCCCTGCTCAACCACTCTTCCAGTTAGGAGGTTCCTCCTGATATTTAGCCGGCATCGACTCCCTTGTCATTTTCATCTATTAGATCTAGTCTTGCAATCTGGAGCAAGAGAGATCTGCTCCATCTTCTACATGACAGTCCTTCAGATACTTGAAGACTGCAATCGTGTCCCCTCTAAGCCTTCTCTTTCCCAAGCTAAACACACCCAACTCTTTCAGCCTTTCCTCGTAAGACTTGGATTCCAGCCCTCTTTGGCAGTGATAGTTTATTGAGATACGCTTACTTCAGGAAACAAGCTCCGTGTCAGAACTGGAAAAAGGCATGCAAAAGCCCCTATTATAGTTAATACAAAATACACCCCACACCTCTTGCATACATCACCATTCAGCCCCTACGGTTACTATGGCAACCCTGACGGATGTACGGTGTCTTATCTCCCCCCTAGCCTGGCAGAGAAGGCTCCAAGGCCAGCTCCCTTGGGAAACAGCTTTGGGGCACAACCGTAAGGAATAGTTACGGCTTCTACAAGCGTCCACTCCAAACACCCATGTGCTCCCCTCAGGAATTCCCTCCCCCCATATCTGTGGCAAGCAGTGAAGTGAGACATAGTGAAACGAAACCAGTGCTTGACGAAATGGAGCTTCCACATCCAGAGGCAGTCTGTCTTTGACTGTTTGCTAGACAAAGCAGCCGGGAAAAGCTATTTTGCCACCCAACAGATCAGAACACCCTGTTGAGACCCCAAGTGTCCGTTTGGGTCCTCCAAAGCCCCCTGGCCACTGATAAGTTTTTCTTCATCTGTCGTGTCGCTGGACACGTCCCCTTCCGACTGCAGGATCCTGCGTGTTAACGACGTAGCGTTTGTCCTCCTCAAAATGGGTCTCCTTCCGGCAATTGTTCCCTCCCTTTCTACACCCCCGCCCGCCCCAAAAACTGGACCTCTGCAGTAAAACAGAACGTCATTCTGCTTAAGCCCGTGCTTCAAGCACTCTTTTGAGAATTGCGTCTGCCCTTATAAAGTGGAAAGATCTATGAATATCTTTTAGTGCGCAATAAAGGGGAATATTCATTCCTTCCCACTGATTAGAGCTGTTCCATTGTGTTCCTTCTGGGGCGAATTTTTATACCCAGTGATCCTCCCGACCATCAGACGATGAGGCTCGTCTTTAGTGTTTTACTTCCATCCTCTTAATTTTGATGGCTCAACTGAGCTCTCTGGAATTGATCTATGCAAGGAGAGGCGGTTTGATAGTGAGTTCCTGGCGGCGCTATCCTAAAGGAGAGTCGCCACATGTGAGTGAGCTTGCCAACCTCCAGGTGGAGCCCGGAGAACTCCTGGCATACTTGGAGGGGGAAGTCTGAGGCATTATATTCAGTATTTACTTATTTATTCATTTTATTCAAGCCAGTTTGGTGTAGTGGTAAGTGATCAGACTCTTAATCTGGAAGAAGAAGAAGAGAGGAAGAGATTGGATTTATACCCCGCCCTTCATTACCCAAGGGAGTCTCAGAGCGGCTTACAAACTCCTTTCCCTTCCCCTCCCCACAACAGATGCCCTGTGAGGTAGGTGGGGCTGAGAGAGCTCTTGAGAGAACTGCTCTTTCAAGAACACCTCTGACAGAACTATGGCTTGCCCAAGGTCATCCAGCAGCTGCGAGTGGAGGAATGGGGAATCAAACCCGGTTCTCCCAGATTAGAGTCGGCGCACTTATCCCGCTACACCAAACTGGCTCCCAAGAACCGGGTTTGATTCCCCATTCCTCCACTCGCACCTGCTGGATGACCTTGGGCAAGCCATAGTTCTGTCAGAGGTGTTCTTGAAAGAGCAGTTCTCTCAAGAGCTCTCTCAGCCCCACCTACCTCACAGGGCATCTGTTGTGGGGAGGGGAAGGGAAAGGAGATTATAAGCCGCTCTGAGACTCTGAGTGAAGGGCAGGGGTTTAAATCCAATCTCTTTGTCTTCTTCTTCATATACCGCCCTCCCCCTAAAGGCTCGGGGTGGTTAACAACAGCTAATAAATACAGTTCTAATAAATAAGATGCATATATGTAGAATAAGGAAGGCCGAGCTGAAGAATAGATTCTTTTGAACTATGGTGCTGGAGAAGACTCTTGAGAGTCCCTTGGACTGCAAGGAGGTCAAATCAGTCAATCCTAAAAGAAATCAACCCTGACTGTTCCTTGGAAGGCCAGATAATGAAACTGAAGCTCAAAGACTTTGGCCACCCAATGAGAAGGGAGCACTCACTGGAGAAGACCCCGATGCTGGGAAAGATTGAAGGTCAAAGAAGACGGGGACGGCAAAGGATGAGACGGTCAGACAGTGTCATGGATGCAACGAGCATGAAGTTGAGCAAGCTTTGGGGGATGGTGGAGGACAGGAAGGCCTGGCGTGATCTGGTCCATGTGGTCGTGGAGAGTCGGACTCGGCTGTGTGACTGAACAACAACAAATGCAAAATAAAACTGAAAAACAAAAAACGAGCAATAATTAACTAGTCAAATGACTAAATTAGTCAGATGACTACATCCAATCTCCTCCTCCTCCTCCTCCCCCTCCTC